AACAATTAAGTGCTGATTAGATGCTCTCTTTAATATAGAATTATCGAACTCTGTGGATGGGAAATCCTTTTTGAAGTTTAGACTTTGATTCTCGACACCAACGAAGGGAAAAGACATTTTTGCAGTGTGACTAGTTGTCATATCCATTCCATCATCTATGAATGCCTCAGTAACATCCGCACGCAGTAATTGCTCCGGTGGAGCTTCACAAATACCAGAAAACATAGCTTTAACATTAGATGCCTGGCATTTTGTCATTTCCATTCCATCATCTTGCCCTCTAAAGACTTTTGTTACATTGCAGGTGTCCAGTGGTTCATGGGAATATACCAATTCCACTGAGGACTGTGCCATGTCTTCTGGGACTTGCGAAGGGACAAAAAAAACATTCTCTTTTTCAGGTCCCTCAGTAGGATTGCGTGCCTTTTCATTTGACTTCAAGCTCATCAAAAATTCATTGAAATTTATTTTTTTTACAGTAGTAGCATCTTCCTTCTGTTCAAAAGATGGGCACGAAATGTTTGTAGGGTCAGAGAAAAAATGAAATTCTTTGCTCATTTCTGCCTTTTCATTGTTAGAGTTTAACCCAGCCAGAAATGATGTGATATCTATTTTCTCAGTTCTGTCAGCTTGATTGTTTTTCAGGTTACGTGTAATCACTGCAGTGTGACTAGCTGTCATCTCCATTTCATTTTCATCTGAAAAGATGAGGGTGGTGTCATGCCTATGTGTTCTTTGAATAGCGTTGTCTGCATCATGCCACTAAAAAAAAAAAAAAAAGGCAAGAAATTACAGTTACTGACACTTAAATGATACAATGGATTTTGCTATTTAAAACAAAAGTCAACTAAAGCAGTCCTAGGGTTATAGCTCTATCTTTACATACTATTTTTTTTTTAAAATATTGCTTTCAATCTTCCTTGACAAGCAATAACACATTCAAGAAAAGCACAATGACTTAAATATTAGAGCGTATCATATTTAAATGGCTTTTTTTGAAAGAATGTGTCTCAGTTTTACTGTTGGGCAAAGACTTCCCATCTAGGAATATCTTAGTAAGCATGGAACAATTACAGAGTCTTATGGATAAGTTGGAAGTTTTAAGAGATTTTTCCAGCACTGACTAGGTAGATTTTAGTCTCTTTATAATAGAGAGGATTTGCAGTTTTAAAGCTGTGGGAAAAAATTGGCCAGTAACAAGATATAACACTATTTTATCCAATATAATCAATATACTGATTAAGAACAGCTTAATGTTTACTTCAAATTACATATGCTATTTTATAAATGCAAGAAACAAAATATACTAGGAAAAGCACAACCATATACGTTACCCAAAACAAGGAGAGACAGAGTTTTGACCTGACCTTTATAGCCTCATGGTATATATCTTCTCATCCACACTAGATTTTAACTGCTTTTTTTGCTGTTAGGTTTTTTTTTAAACATTTGTTAACAAGAGCTAATGTATGTTTTTAAGCCCTATCTTTACACTCGACATAAGAGTCGGAAGCCATTGCAGTAAGGGAGACCATTTTGACAGTGGCTTTGTTTAACACCACAGTGCCATAACTTCATCACTGAAATGTGCCACAGATCGGGATTTCTGTGCAATTGTGTCTGTGAAGGTCTTAGCTAAGAATTCTGTGCTTTATCACTTGATTCAGCTGAAGAATTTCAGTTACCTTTTTATGCTAATCATTGCAATTTGTCTAAAGCTTTTTAACAGCAGGAACAAAGAGTACATATCTGCATATCCATTCAACCCATAGAAGAAAAAATACACAAGCAGAGGAAAAATACATAACCAGACCTCTCTGAAACATAAGCTCCTTTGCATATTCTCAGATAAGAATTGAAAAGAATGGAGGAACTAGCTCAGGTACTGAAAAATTAGCAAGCAATTTTAGAAGCAAGAGGTATCAATACTGCAGTATAATGCCTACAAGGTTAGGAAAATACTTCAAAACGTAGAAGATTAGCTTTCAGAAGAACTTTATGTGAATGCAAGAATTTATTTTTTAGGCACTTGAGTTACATTTTTCATCTTTACTACACAAATTATTGGAGTATATTTTGGACACTGATATTTTCAGCACCAAAAAAATAAAAGCCATATACCTCAGTCTGCTGCACCAATGCCTGGATGGGGGCATGAAGCAAAGTGTTCATCCCTGTCAAAAGAAAAGGAAATAATCCATTTGTTGTGCTATTTTCTTATTATTTTATCCACTGAGCTGAAGATCTATACACTCATTTTAAAAATACCACTGAGTAAGTAAGTACAATTAAAACCAAACATGTCCTGAAAAATATTTTCCATGTTCCTTTCAGCATGTGGAAGAGCTACCCATGCTTCTGCAATACAATGCCTTAAACACCTTTATGGGACAAAGCCCCTTCATGCAATAGTCATCTCGGTCAGGGAGATTGTTCTAGGCACGTTAAAATTACTCAAGCAGAATCAGTAGTTTTGAATATAGTCATTTTGCTATTAAATCTGTTTCCAAACTCACCAGTGATCTCACATGGAACAGCTTCAGGTTCTTCATTTCTACAAAAGGTGGGTGAGGTAAACAGTTTGTTAAAAGATTTCAAGACAGAAGGCTTCAGCAATATAACGAAAAGGCAGGGAATTCTGTTGCATAGCTCATACGGGACTGGGCAGCAGATACCACACACTACATATGTGTCTTCAATATATTCTAATCTGAGTTGCAATCTTAGTTTCCCATGAGATTCTCTCACCTTAGCATGCCACAAAGCCACTGTTCAGCATACAGATGGCATTGTAATTCCTCAGTGACAAGTAAAAGAAGAGAAAAGATTAATTCTTTATTTTTAACTCAGACCTTCCACTTCTAGTCATTCCTTTCTCTCTGGGAAACTGAAACTGTGTTCCTAAAGCATGAAATCATTTCTTTGTAAAACAAAAAGCCAGATACAACGTCCAACTTGTGTGGTTTTCTGTCTAATTTTTAATGCCTTCTGCTTTCCACTGTTTTGACAATTGCTCTTTCAAGACCAAGAAACCTTAGCTAGAGTACTGATTTTTATTTATATATATGTGCACGCGCGCACACACACGTATATATGTTACTATGTTGGGCTGATACCTTTAAAAGCATGAGTTAACTACAGTTGTACATAAGCTGTTTCCTTGCTATGTATTTTAAAGGTAAGAAATTTCTCTTCACACAGAGAAATTGTCTAAATCTGTTATTTGCCTTACCAGGTTACTTTAATTTTAAAATCCCATCATTGTGTTTTATCTAGATAAAAGAACTTTGAGGCCAGACTAACACTTTATCTACCTCTGAGGGAAAAAGTCCTGGTGATAAATATCAAAGGCTATGTCTATCAGATATGGAAACTGGTAGGTTTTTCCTGGTGCCATGGTTTAGCCCTAGCCGGCAGCTGAGCACCACACGGCCTCGCTCGCCCCTCCACCCCTCGTGGGATGGGAAGGAAAATCAGAAGGAAAAGGTAAAACGCAAGGGTAGACTCCCGGCTGCAAACCTTCCCAGCTTCTGGTGAAAATTAACTATCCCAGCTTCTGGTGAAAATTAACTATCCCAGCTAAAAACCAGGACACCTGGAAAGCATTCCCAAACAATCAGCTTTGGAAGGGAGCAGTTTCAAGCCATAATTGCTCAGTTTTTCAGAAACTGCTATATTTTTTGTGAGCGACCACCACGGTTATATGCTTTCTTTGCTTGTATCCCTTCTTTCACCAATCAAAAGCACTGAGCAATTTTACATCTAGATAAATACGTATGCCAGATTTCTTCAAGGAGTAGTATTTTGATGGTTGTATGTCATGTGAAGAAATGTATTTGCAGGACAAAACTCTATAATCATGGGAATTTTTTTCAAACTTACTGATTAAGCAGGACATCATCCCTCGTATCTGCTGCACACTCTAAAATTGTAAGGAAATTAGACATTACAATGTGAGAAGCATAATCAAACCATTCAGAGACAGAAGTGAACTGCACAGAAAAGAATGTTCTGAAGTCCTGACTCTTGATGTGCCATCTTATCGTGGCAAAACCCCAGAGAAGCAAAGTACTTGGAAATGCATTAGCATTCTTCCTAGGTAATCTTTGACAGAGTGAATATGACATTCTGCCCAGCCTTCTTTTCATTTAAATCCCCAAGGCAGATGTTGTTCTAGGTGCATTTTCTCTAAGAAAATAACTCCTTTTCTGAGCTACAAGGTCCACAATACCAGTAGCTAATGGGTTTTCGGCCAGTCCATGATAAACAGCCGACTATATTGTTCCTTACCCGTGACTGACAGGCCTGACTTCTTAAATTCAGGCTAAAATCTTGTTGCTAATAGTCTGCGAATCCTATCAGGAGAAGAGAATGGAGTTTTACCTGTACTTTCTGTCTCTGCCGTGTTATTCTTAAGATCCCGCTGGAAGACTCTGCAGCTAAGGAAAAAAAACCAAACAACAAACAGTAAACAACCCAGTTTTTGAAAAACACAAGACCATTGTTTTGAAGCAAAGAAAAAAAAAACCAAAGTTAAAAAAAAAAAATCAGCCCTAATTTCAATCTTTTCCACATGGCATGTTCTGAAATGACATACCAAAAGCCAGAAGCTTACTGAACCCAACCATATTTTCCAGCAGGAAGATGCCATTATCATACTTAAGATGGAAAACACTAAAAAATTTAATGATATTAAATTCACTGAAACGGTTGGGGTTTGGGTTTTTTTTCCTGGCTAGGAAAAGAAAATGAAAAAATGGCTCTCTTGGGGCTCAAAATCAGCTCAATGTAACAACAGTCACCACTTTGCTGTCACGGGATACTCACAAACACATGCAAACAGCAATTTTAGGGGATACCAGATTATTACCTATAGCCTGCATTTTACGCTTACATAAAAGATGTAGATCTGCATCCTTCAGATCCAACTTACTTTATGGTGTTCGCAAAGCTGACACGGCGGGAGTTTTTCCTACGTTTTTCTATATTGATATCCTGACAATAAAGAACACAACACTTTGATATACAGGGAACTGTTCTTATCCCATAAGCCACAATAAGCATAGCTTTTCACACAACACAAAAAACCCCCCCAAAACACACCCCACACCCCCCCCCAAATAATAATCTATGAGTCCAACAAGTACAACAGATATTTACCAACCCTCTTTAATGGGCAGGCTGGTGGTTTTTTCCAGATGTAAAACCATCTTACTGACTATACCAGTTTGTAGACTGGTGGATCAAACTTCAAGTCAAAGGGACTACAGCAGGACCAAGTTATGCCTCTTAATCTCTGTTTATTCCTCTTTTCTTGATAGAAGAAATATTCTGATGTAATAGAAGTATAAGAAAAACTCGTGGATTTCTTATTAAGTAGTCCTCCAAACACTATCCTCCTGAGCAGTTGTTACAAGTTTTTGCACCTGTGTTATTCTAGTGACACAGTTTAATCAGCAACAAGTTGAGGAGCAAACTGAAGATGTTAAGAGCATCGGCAAGAAAAGACTTAGTAGACCTACCTGTGTCAATTCATTCCCATTTCCCAGATCATCAAGAGGATTTCGCGGAGCCTTTAAAATCTAAAAGAAAATATAATAGTTGAGAAGATAACTACAAGAAGTGATGACTTGGCTGGAGTGAGTTTGCAAGAGCCACCAGTGCCCCAGCCAGTCATATCAATCCAATAGGCTCTTTCTGTGCTTTTGGAATGCTTTTCTTCAACTGCAATGAGAAAACAAGTTCCTCTTTACAGCTCCCCTTTCTTTCCTTCCCTCATTCGCGCAGTTTTCTTTTGAGAAATGCCTTAAGTTACTCACAGAGGACAGTCGCTTCCCTCTGATGTGCTCTGTATTATCACTGGAGGGGGAAAAAGGGAAATGGGTATTAGGGCATAAACTTGAACCCAGATGTATTTCTTGAACAGTACTACTACCTTTTTAAGGTTAATAAATTGATTTCTCCATTATTTTTACGAGTGTGAAATTAAAAAAATAAACAAGCTTGCTTGGAATAGATCATTCCAGCACCAGTTCCCAAAAAAACATTTTGAAAATTCAGCAGGTTGCCCTCCAAACCCCACGGTCAGTTAGTCTCCAGACAATCTACTGCTGTGAGATTTCCTCAGAGCTTTCCTACACACAGCCAAAGAAATTTCCTGTTCTTCTTCACAATGGAAAACACATTTCATTCAAGAGATGCTGAAGTGCATGCAGGGATTAAATTGCCTCTGAATGATAATATTTATACCACAATAAGATTCTTAGAAGGTTTTCACTTACTTTTCCAAGTTAGGGTCTGTGTAAATCTTGTCCATTTTTGAAGGATACAGTACTGAAATCCAAAAATAGTAATGAGCCTCAGTAAGAAAATTGCATACAACCACAACTAGATACTAGCCTTAGATACTATAATTTTTCTCTCCATCTTTCTCTATTCCCAGGAACACACTGAAGTGTAAAAGGCCTCTCAAGTCCACATCTTCTATTACGTATCATATTATAAAAAACTGTGCTAAGAGTCTTACTGGGTAGGTGTCCTTTTATTTGAAGTTAAGATTCTGGTAAGTGTTAGAGATAAATGTGATCAAACCCTATACAATACAAAGTTTGCTAGTTTGCTCTGACACACAAGACAATTTTTCAATCACCAATTCTCCCCCCACTCCAAGAATATCTGATGGCAATGCAAATAGCTCCCACTAGCACAGAGAACTACAACACTTATCAGAAGTTACAAAAGGGGATAAAATGAATTAACCCGCACTGTCAGCATGCCAGTGCTAACACAGACTTAATATTGCCTAACATTTCTTCTAAACCACAAAAAATTCAGGGCTTTGAACACCAGGTTAATATTCCTCATAACTTCAGTCACCTTTTTTCCCCCAGTAAATTCCTGTTTGCTTAAACAGAAAAAAAGCACTATTTTAAAGACACCACTACATGTGAAAGTATAACAAATAAGAGCCAGAGGAGTTTTCCAGAATGACATCGTACTTGTACACAAAAGCTGATTTGCTGAAATGAACTTTATTAATTTCTTGGTTTATTTTTGCAGAGTAATTCCTCTCACCAAAAACATAGCGGTTTTACATTAGTACCAGTCAGAAAGGCAGCTGGAGAGGCCTTGGCTTTCAGGGCCTGCAGCTCTGAGGCAACAAAACCGAGACACTGCTTTCAGGCCAGCAGCTGGAAGACTCGGACCATACGAACTGCTGCACTGCATCAGACTAAACACAACAAGACGTGACACAGAAGAAGACGGCACACGCAGGTGTCTAGAGAAGAGCGGAAGAACAGACATTGGCTGTAGACGGCCCCGTTTAGTCTGCTAGGAGTCTGTATTGGGAGGTCTGTTAGTCTGGAATTCACATCCCAATCAATGCGCTCAGTAGTCATTCTGGAATCCTTCTTTGAACTTATTTACGTATCTTTGACCTACAAGCATATGGCATAACGCTTTGTTATGCTATTTATGAAAAAGCATCTCTTTCTATTCTTATACTTGATAATGAAGTATCTCCCAGTTCCACACTGTGAACGTGAAGAATCATTCCATGAATTTGTTTCAGTTCATTCATGAACCCAAGCCCTCCTCAGTCCTCCCCCTCTTTAAGAGTAAGAATCTATTTGTTCTCTCTTTGCGATTCCTTTTTGTTCTCAAGCCGTTTCCCTCACGCTCCCCCATGGCGTTTGCTTTACCGCCCTGACAGGGCTGACAGCTTGGGAGCGCTGCCCAGAACGACTGCCAAAAGCTAAATTACACCTCAGTATCGCTTATATCGATGTTTTCCCAAACGGGAATTACTTCGCACTGGTCAGGACTGCATTTCTCGGTCAGTTTACCAGGCGATTCCTCTCACGCTTCGAGGCCGTCCCCGACTCCAGCCACCCCAGGCGAAATCTCCTCAGGCCGGGGCTCCACGCCGCTCATCCCTCTTTCCACCTCGCTCCCCCAGGTCTGCGGGGGAGGCCTCTCCTCCCGGCGGGACC